AGGATTTGATGGAAAACAAACATTTTAATTTAACAAAAGATTAAGATTAAAACTCTATCTCAAACTCGCTACAGTCTTTATATTCTCTTGCAACTGGATACTCTCTTTTAATCTCGCTACGTTGTTAGGAATTATTCAGTCATGAATCGTCCTACGGTACTTTGACCAGGAATCAAAATACCAATGAGATAAAATATATAAAATAGCAGAAAGAAACCACAGGACACAAACAGTTTGGCACTACAGCAAACACAATCTATTGTTATAATATTGTTGTACCTATAAGTTCCGCAGTGGAAGTCTTTTCTTGTTCAAATGAAGTTCTATTAAAACTGAAAAGATATACTTAATTATACAACGTCTTACAACGTAACAACGTCTTTTCTCTCTAGATCTGTACACTCTCGCGACTCGCTTATCTCTGTTTTCTCGAAGCTTCGTTATTCTCACACTCATGCACATAAACATTCGTGTTTTTAATATTCTAACCTAACATATCGGTTAAAAATCTGTTTAGCATATTGATTGAAATAGACGACGAACCTACAGAAAACATCACGATGGCAACCGAAAAACCACAACCAAAACCTCCATCAGTATATATAGGAGCTCAAGTCATTGAACCGCTTACTATTGAAAAACATAGCCAACGATAATTATACTCTTAAACAAGTGAAAGATAATCATGTCAAAGTGCAAGTTAACACCCCCGAAACCTATAGAAAGTTTACGCTGGCATTAAAAGAAAAGAATGCAGACTTTTATACCTACCAACTAAAGAAGAATAGAAGCTACAAGGTAGTACTTAGAAAAATGCATCCTAGAACAAACATCAGCTCAATAATTAATGAATTGAAAGAACTCAACCACCAGTTAACGATATAGTTAAGCAAGATACAAAGCAACCTTTGCTACTGTTTTCCATTAAGCTTAAACTATATAGGGAAAATAACAACAAAATTTACAAAATTGATAGGCTACTTAATACTGTTTTAAACCTCCTTGAAATAAAAGAGATATTTCGAAATGCCTACGTTGTCAGTCATACGGCCATACTAAAACTATTGCCGAATAACGATTTGTGTTAAATGTGCAGGGATTCATTGATCTTCCAACTGTCCTATTGCTGGAAAAATAGCTGATGTTAAATATTATAACTGCCAGGGGAACCACCCCGCTAACTACAAGGGATGTACAGTGAGAAAACAGTTGCAGCAAAAACCCTTTTTTAGACTAAGATGTAAATCAGTTATAGAAAATGACAACAATAATTAATTCTCGCTAGGATGCATCAAAACACAAAAATGAACAACAAAACTTACGTCTAAGTAACTCGATCTCATGAAGGAGAATTAAAAATCAGAGCTTGATACTTGATATGATAGAAATTAAAAAATTACTGGTAGCGCTAACTAAAAATACTAAATTAATAACTAATATGTTATTACAACAAAACCAATTATTAACTCAACAATCGAAACAAATCAACAAAATGTTGGAACTCCTTTCACACATGCAAAATAACATTAAGAAATAAAAATGGATACCTTAAAAATAGTAATTTGGAATGAAAATGGCCTATTTGATATAAGAGTTGCAAGAGTTAAAAGTCTTTTTATACAAAAATAAAATTAACGTGTTACTCATTGCAGAAACTCATTTCACAATAAAAAGCTTTATCAAAATTCCACTTTATAATGTTTATGATACTAAACATCCATTTGGCAGGTCGCGTAATGATTCAGTGATAATTATCAAACAAGACACTTTTTCCAATACTCGATGGCTGATATACGCATACAGCTACCACTGTAACTATAAACACTAGTGGTGACAATATTGACTGTTATCTATAGTTCTCTAAATCAAAAAATATTGGTCTAGCGATACGAATCTTCTTCAACTTATTAGGGAACAAATTTATTGCTGGAAGGGATTTTAACGCTAAACATAACTTATGAGGCTCAAGAATAAACACACCGCGAGGTAAAATTTTAAAACATTAAGGTATACGAAAACTCTCATTGGATATAATATCAACATATTGGCCATCGACACAAGAAAATACTCCAGATTTACTGGAATTTGCAATTATTAAAGGACTACACAAATATCACTTACTTCCGATCATTCTCCGACTCTTACTGATTACTCATCCAAAATATATACAAACGGAACAAACCATTTATATAACAATAGTATTAACTGGGTTCAATTTCAAAAATATCTAGAAGCTAATATAAATTGCAATATACCTCTTAAAGACATCGGAACAAATTGAATTAGCAATAATGAACTTCACTGATTTAATTAATACAAGAAGCAGGTTCGATTGCCACCAAAGTGAAATGATAGAAAATTTCTACCTTATCCAGCCAATTTATATTGCAAAGAATTAAGTTGAAATAAAAAGTATCTGACAATGGCACAAAATACTACAAAAGCAGATTAAACGCTGTCACAAAAAGGTAAAGCAATTAATCCGAAACCACTGCAACGCAGAATTTCACGACTACATAATAAAACTATCACCTAATGAGCTATCACACCCAACTTTCACGTGAATTACTCTCTCTGGAAAACTACCAAAAGTTTTCATTTATTCTCTGAAAAGCTACCAAAAACTGAAAAGGTCAACCTGCTATTAAGAAAAAAACTCTAACTGAGTACACTTAAAAGTTCAAGAGTACACTTAAAAAGCAAACGTTTTCACCTAACATCTTCAAGATACATTTAAACCCAATGCTAGTAGCACTACCATAGTTATTCTCTACGAGACTTCGTAGGCCGTAACTGAGCACTCCGCATAAATTATTGCACCAGTCACAGCAAAAGTTGTTACCAAACTTATCTGGGAAACGCGAGATAGGAAAACTCCTGGTATTATTAGTGAAAAGATTCTTAAAGAACTCCCACCAAAAGCGATTAGGATGCTCACCATAATTTTTAATGCAGTTTTATAATTTTTAATATTAATAATCTCGCTAGAAGATTATGTAAGAAGCATTCAAGCGATTTCCTCTCCACAACATAAGGTGTTGCAATAGAGATGCATCTTACTCAGGAAGCATCTACGTGCTAAAATCCAATATACCGCCAAAACAATTTACCAAATGTCCTTCTTGGACAAATTAACATTAATAAACATTGGAGATAAAAGAAAAAAAAGAAAAAAAATATTTGCAGTGACAACGATTCGTTCTGTTTGAATGTACTAACGATAAATATAACGGTATGAAGAATATGTATAAGATTCCAAAATTTTGAATAATCGCAATATGGATCGAGTTGTTTTTATTAAAGGAATTAATGGTTTTAATGTAATTTGTTAATACTGACTTTGTGATTAAACCATCAAAGGTTGTTGCAATCTTGAAATTTAATTAAGCAAAAAAATTATTAATGAAAACCTGAAGATTATATGAACGTACACAATATGTCGAATCTAGTCAGAATTCTCCTTGTTGAATGTGTAATCGCATTTCCTAAGGTACGACTCTCTCCTTCGAACTCTAAGGCATGTCTCAATCAATTACTTGCCAACTATGTTTTTGAATTTATTGCAAGATATAGCAAAAGATGACAGAAATGAATGATAGCACGTACAATTTGCAAAGATCTATATCTTCAACAATCGTTCGTGGGAGAACAATTCAACTGTTGGTGAGGAAAATACAACCTTGAAGATAATATAATAATAAATAATATAAATGATATCGACTATGAGATCATTAACAACGACGTTAAATTAGACTGATTATATTTTAAAATATATATTCGTATTTTTAAGAAAATTTAATGTGTTTGTGATGTCATCTTGTGTTAACAAGATTGAATCAGCACGGTGGTGTTTGAAATGATGTCCGCGTGCCGAGGTTCTCTCGTTCGGTGTTTTACTTCTGGCGTAGAGATATTAAATCAAAGAAGGCTGATGTTCTTCAATCTTTATATATTTGAATGTATGTATGTTTGTACAAAAGAACTGACTGAACTGTCTTGCTAAACTGAATTGCTGACTCTCAACTGCTCTCTGATTGAATCTGAACAGGTGGCCTTATATACGTATTGATTCTATTCTATTGTGTTAATTAAGCTCAAGAAAGACCGTTGGGCCAAGTCGGTCTTATAAAGTATAATTAGTTGTTGGCCCAACGGTTTTGCCTAGATACGAGTACTGATTTTGTCCTTTTAATAGTAGGGGTAGTTGTAAAAGAGAAAATTATTGAGTGCTAAAATTTGGACTCATATCAGTTCCAAAGCTAGATGACTTTTATATTCACCTTCGGGTTTATAACCCTCATGCTCCGAACAATCAGGATTTATTCCGTGTCTTTGTCCTTGTATATATATATATATATATATATATATATCTGTGTCAGAAATAGTTGCAGAGTGATGTTTGTGACAAAATATTCATGAATTATTGAAAATATATATTAAATGTAGAAAATAAAAATTAGTTAATTATCTTTATACTGAATTTTAAAATACAAATCATTATACGCTGACATTAAAAGAAACATATTTTTTTTTTAAATATTTCAGAAATAATTTCGATATAACTTTAGTGATAATTTCGTAGAGTAGAGAAAAGTAGAGTAAAGCCGTGTTCCCAATGTACTGTAGCTTCATAACAAAAAATCGGATGGCAAAAAGAAATTCGCATAAAGCTAAATCTCTAATTAATTGGAACTTTATACAATAAAAAAAAAGACCAAACTTTTTGGAAACAATTATTTAGCTCATGGGAAAATAAAATTTTCTGGAGATATGCAAAAATCTGGTTTTGCCCCATAAAAGTCTATTAAAAGACGTATGAAATGAAATACGGTTTTTTATTTTTATAGTTTGAAATATAGTAAAAACAATTATTTTTAATAATTTTTATAAATATAAAGGTATTCTATTTTGTCTGTTTTATAAAAAATTATGTTATTTATTAGTTTAGTAACTTTTACTGTATTTATAAAAAATTTGAACTATTTTAACACATAAACAAAACTCAATTAACAAAACAAAAATCGCAAATGTTTCTCGCCCTCTTACACTGGATGTAAGTGACATGTGTAAATTCTAAACAAAAATGTGTAAATTCTCTTACTCACTGGATGAAGATCTACATCACCATATATGTCTGTAGCTTGTATTTTTCACATCCATTTTTGAATTATGATTCCTCAACACTAGCAACTTAGTTTAAATACATTAAGATAACTTTCATCTGAGAATTAACTTTTATTTCAATTCGAATTCAAAATCTTCATAATGATACTATTGCAAATTCTACTTGTCTTTTTTTATTCTTCTTGCTAATGTCAGGTTTTTTTACGACATGAATATCTAGCATTTTTCACTACGCCTTGCTTTATTATTAAAATTTGTTTCTCAAAGGTATTTAGTATCATTCTTCAGAAGATGTGACTTTCAAATTTTTCCTTATTATATTAATTATTTTTCGCTCTTCCTTTACAGATAATTTGCTTGATCGACCAATTCTTCAAACGATATTTTGATTTATTCAAAAACTGTTTAATAACACTACGATCTGTGAAACGACTTCTTTGCACTATTTTTCCGATTCCTGTATAATTCCAATTTCTGTAAATTTAAATATGATGTTTCTCTTTTCAAAAGTAGTTTACTTCTCTTCTTCCCACGTTTAATATTGCAAAGGCATAAAATTAACCAGAATAACTACCAGAATAATTTTTACTAATTCTTACAAACAAATTACGCAGCTGCAATGACGAATTGTTTCTAAGCGAAGAATTTTAGTTATGTGCAAACATTTACATATATTAAGTTATAAGAAAAATATGACAGACATTTCCATTTATTATTTACTCTGTATTGTACCGATATATTTCTGTTTCTGTATATAGACAAGAGAAATTGATGCAAGCAATTATGTCAATAGTTATATTTGTATCTGAAATTCTATACTAAGAATTCTTTTGTCCATCACTATCAATAATGAATAAAAGTGTTAAATAAATGAATTATAAGTGTTGAAAAGCATCTAAGTTAACTATGTAGTAATGAAAATTTTTAGTTATTAGTAATGGCTTCTGGTAATAAGGTTCATGATACTCAACTGATCCAAAGTCCAGTCCTATCTTCCGGATGAAAATAATGCAGAAGTATTAGCAGTGTCTTGTTTATTTAAAAAATTTTAGAAAATAAAATTCGTATCTTTCTGCCAAATTAATCATTAATTGAAAAACTAGTAATGAAACAATAAAAATAAAAAATCACTCTTTAACTATCAAATCTTTAATGAAACGAAAATGAAAGAGTAATTATTTCCAATGTTCGTATTATTTCTTATTTAATTCGTATTATTTCCGTATTATTTAGTTCGTATTATTTCTTATTTATTTCGTATTATTTCCAATGTTCTAGTAATACCATACGATCTGTTAATAGAAACATTGAAAAAGAAAGGCATAATTTTGCTATTGCGTATGACTTTAATATTAAAATAATATTAAATACTCGTATTTTTCATTCCGCAGACAAGTTCATATTAAAGAAAAAGACGAATATAGTCTCCCGAATCGTTAAAATTAAATTATAACAACACGTCATATTGATTGTACAGTTTTGTACAGTTACGACGTACTGTTTTCCAAACAAAACAGATATGTAGCGTGTCCAAAAAATATTGAAGATTTGCAATATAACTATGAAATACATATCTTAAATGACATTATTATAAATTCTACAGTCTCATAAGATAAACAATAAAAACAGACTTTCCCGATTATCTTGTTTTTCTAATAACCTTTCCTGTGAGGATATTGTAATTGAGCATAAAAATTCATATTTAAATAAATTTAATCAAGATGAAAAATGAACTCAGTCTCCTCTATTATCGAGAAATTTTGATTTAAAAAAAAAAAAAACTCGCGAGGTGTTTACAATTAAATGATTCGACTTCAGTGGATAATTTATATTTGGAAATAACTTCACTATTATTAAAGCACATATTTAAACAAGATTCAGTTAAATATTATTTATGTTCATATTGTTTGAATTATAATCAATTCAAATTTTTAAGAAAAGAGCACGTGGTTATTCCAACACGTTTGAAACAAATGATATATGTGGTTCAAATTGACCGAGAAAATCATCATTTAAGTGATTGAAAGCAAGACGCTCACGGATTAAAAGAAAGCTCGTATATATAATATGAAGTAAGAATATCTCAGAATATGATTCAGATCAATTATTAGCACGAAAGTTGGAAGATAACTATTTCTTATCCTAAAGACTTAAGAATATTATTTGAAATGCGAAAAGTATTCTAATGGAAAAATGAACT